GCGACTTTCACACATGACTAGTGACTCACCTTGTCCTGGAGTTCTCCTAATCTTTGGAAAACATCGCTTTTTTCGGCACATGTTTTTGCGCCCTTAAAGAAGCCCTGACTCGCCCCTTTTTTTGCAACGCTCGGTACTTTAGGCAGCTGCTGTACTTAAGCCTGTCTGCGCTGCGGAGTTTCGAAATGGGATCATGCACAAAACTCAAGTGATCACGTGTCTACCGTTCTCCCTTTCCGTCCTAAGGGTTAGAGCACAGACAGCCAGAGGTCATTGGATTTGGCATACATTTGGAGGCGGAGCAGGAACTCGCGGCTTACAATTACTAATGCAGTTGGATCTTTCTAGTTGGTCTGAAGCTTCTGAGAATAGACCCTGTTCTCGCTAGAATCAAGTCACGCATCACCTCCTTGGGGGCTTAATTTTTTTCTACGTCACATTTACCAAGTAAGCTGGGCAGATTATCGTGATAAATGCTTTTACCCTTGAAGCCCCTCCCCTTTGTGAGTAATCTGATCGCTCTTGGCAAAAATACTTTGCACTAGTGGCAAAAAAGATTTTGATGAAATGAACCGGTTTGATTTTAAAATAGAATTCTGCAATGATTGATGACTCAAGGGATCTCGAGAGCCGAAAAAACAGTAAGAAATGTGAATTTAAAGAAGACTCTGGTATTCTCGGAAAGAGCGAGAACGAACAGGTTCCAAGCAGAGTCCTTCACCGACTCCGAGATCGCCACCATTGGGTAGCTCTCAAGGGCACGGTTAGGTACAGAAAATGAAAATATGGCGTCGGTAGGGTAGTGTGGTCCGCAATAACCAACCTTGTACCGGTTTCATCAAAAAAATTGCAGTGGAAGGGCGCTATAGCGCAATATAGTTCAGTGACGCCTCCTTTTTCCAGTGACTCCGCCTCCAGACTCCGCCTTCAAGGCCCGCCTTTCAGTGAAAAACGAAGCTGCAGGACGAAAAAGCATGAAAATCGTCACTTGTACGGTCGTAGAGTTCTTATCGGGAATCAGCTGTGCGGATGAGGGCGTAGTGTTGGCGCTTGAGTTCACCACGTTCAAAATGGGATTGGAATGGGGGTCTACCTAGGAGAGTTGGCATGTTTTTTTCTGCTTCTTTTTTCACTCTCGAATTACTCATGGTCAGAGATTTGTTGTCTATATGAAGTCTCCTGATCCACTATCCGTGATGGCAAATGATCGGGCATTGCTTTTCAAAACGAGGAGTTGTGCTCGTACACCTACTGCAGCAGTTCTTGCATAGAGTCAGTTCACCAATGCCGAGCCGGGATTTGGCTCAGAGTAACTGCCACGCTCGTCTGACTGATCTGTTTGGACTCGGGTTTATGCCAAAAGTGGGGTTCCGCCTTGCCCCAGTGAGGTATGCAGCCACGTCCACACCATCTGCGGGACATGGAGTATACCTCATTCAGGACATTTACCGGGAGAGTATTGGCTGAGCAGAACTGTGAGGAGTGAGCCTTGATCTCTAAAAGGGACTGCATGGAATAATACATAAGTTTCAGGTAAGGGCCATTAGATGGTCAGTACTGAGGGTTGTTAAAGTTTGTATGAATATTTCTACCGCCAATAAGCCATATTTGACCGCTGAGATGGTATGGAATTGCTGAAAAATGAACGGCACTGAATGGATGTGATGTAATTCATGGAATCAGCATGGTTTTCAAGTACTATCAAATCAGCTAGGTAGTGGTGCGCATCTCGGGCACGCGACGTCACTTGCCACTTTTGCCGAATCCCGCAACGTGTGCCTCCCGACCCTGTCATCACACCCATTTATATGTATTTCCATCCCGAGAACGTTTTTTTGTCGACATTCTGTTGTAGATTGTGTAACCAAGCGTTATTTAGGGTTTCACTATGGCTTCCCTTAGGTGAACTAGCTAGTTTTCAACTCTCGAAAGAAGAGCAAAACGTGCTTCTAACCGGTTTCAGTGCAAAACTTACAAAGATTTGTGGCATACAAAATCATGTGGAGAATCAAGAATTATGGGGAAGAGAGCTGCGGCAATTAAAACGATTGTAAACGGACGTTGTATGACTATTCAGAGATATATAAGCGCAATCACTTGATGATGGAAGCGGAACCATCCTGCTTGTTCATGGTGAGTTTTTTTTGCTTCTCAGTTTACTTGTAAGCCATTTCCAGGATTAGATTTTCCTTTCATGTACGAAATACAATTGATAAAATAAAGCGCCCGATTTTTCTGTCATCTTTCGGAAACACTGCATACACGCACATTGTATCCTACTATCCTACTTCCATTCGAATATCTTACTTTTGAATTGATTTTGTTTGCATTTACATAACAACTTGCTGGCGCTACCAAGTAGTATGCTTTTACCTTCCTTGACTGAGCCCCTTCCTGACTGATGAGAGTTGAGGGGTTCCATTCGTCGTTACGCCACTGAATCCACGCTTAGGCGAGTTCATAATCAGTAAGGGTAGACCTGACGACAGACCAGCGAGAAGTTCGTATCTAGGCGTTGAAAATCAAGCAATATGTGCTACCATTGCGTTCTGCCCGGTGAGAGAAAAAAGGGGGAGCGCACCAAAAAGACTACACAGGAAAAAGTGTTGCGAGCATGAGATCTCCGCCCATTTTGACCTGACATCCTGGGCGCTGAAGGTGCTCCAGTGTTCTCAGAACTTGAGCGAAATCACTTGGGCGGCCTTGTGCCGCTACCTTAGCAGTTTCTGAGCGTGAAACCACAAGAGTTTTCGATTTCAGTCCAGCACTACCTCTCCGTGGCGATTAGCTTTACCGCATAACAACTTATCGTGGGCTCTGCTTTGCCTCCGCCGGTGTTGGTTGGCCTAAATTGGTAACTCTGCTGACTCGTAATGCCACCCAATCCTATTTCTTCATTTCAGCTGCACGCTATTGTGCAGCGCATCTCGGCGCATTGCAGCTTGTCTCGAGATTCGTTCTCAAGATCGTTGATGCGCCTGCATTTTGGTGGCAAGAAGAAGCAGCCCGTGTCGAAGGGATAATGGCGGACGTACTGGGAGGACTGTACCTCGTGAACGTGCAGTCTTTTCAGTCCCTTCTCGTATCGGCGCTAGCGTCGACACCAATGTGTCGGTGCTATAGGGTTGGGTCGCGATTAGTTGCCTGCACGACAATATTATAGGGGCGATATGTCACAGCTACACAGTGACGTTGGTCCTGACGAAGCCTATTAGAATGGAGAACGGGTACAAGTTAGCAATAGGATAATCGAGAGGGCGATAACACAGGCTGGAAAAATTAGGATAGGGAGGCGTGTAGAAAGGATTCCGTGTAGCGTATGACAGGCAACAGCAACAGACTACATTACAACAGGATATGTACCAAGAAGATATATAGGGGCAGGGACAGCCACTTAACTGAAATGCTATAGCAGAGAATAAACAGCTGATAAAATAAGATGATAGATGTGGTAAATGGGAAGTCCACCAAGTTCATAGCGCCCGTTGCAGCAGCAGTGAGATGTTGGACCGAAGAAGCGATACAGAGGGTAAATTGGTGACGCGTGGCAGGAAGTGGAGATAACTGATAATAGCTGGCCTTCTTCTTCTCCCCAGCATTATTCTCGCGCCCTGGAGGGGTCCGCTTTCTCTGTATGGTAATGAAGAAAACACGTTGAACCTAGCGAGTTACACTCTAGTTCACTGCGGACGATTAGGCGTGTCAGGCAGTATCAGTGTGTCACCCCGTAAAAGCAATTCACAGGTCTGGCCCAGCGCCAAACTCATCCCGCCTGACATGCCCAACCGTCCGCAGCGAACTACACTATATTGGAAACCAGTTTAGTTAAAATTTCAGTAACTGGAATGAGTGTGAACAAGGTCGCCGTCAGCACAGCCGTCTTCGTGGCCATCGGAACCATCGGCTGCTTGGTGGTCGTCGTCTACCTCGTCAATGACATAAACAGTTTCTACGATGAGACCATTGAAGATATCATCGAATTCAAGGCCAGTGAGCGAAAACTCTTTGCTTGTACAAGAGATTCAAGGCTCATTTTCAGGACCTGGCGAACACAGCATGGTATCAAATGAAACCAAGTCCGTACGTCACTACCAGAGGTAAAAAAGTAATTCCTGCTCATGTTCGCAAACGCCGACAGTATGAAGAAGACATATGCAACTGTGGAATGCAAGCGTACAACTGCCCAGTAGGACCTCGCGGCCCTCCAGGACAGCGCGGAGATGATGGGGAGCCAGGAGTGCCAGGTGAACCAGGAGAACGTGGAAGACCAGGTTCTATTATGGCATACGATGTAGGGGTGCGTGGATGTTTAAAATGCCCTGCTGGTCCTCCTGGACCACCTGGTCCACCTGGTTTCCAAGGATTACCAGGTGTCGACGGCGATGAAGGGATGCCAGCTCCAAGTGGGGCACCCGGTCAGCCAGGACCGGTCGGCGAAATGGGTGATCCCGGGCCACCGGGATTGCCTGGATCTGAAGGAGTCCCAGGACCACCAGGCAAGTCAGCTAGGCACGCAATTGGTCTGCCAGGACCAATGGGAGCGATGGGTCCTATGGGAATGCCTGGTGCAGCCGGAAGAGATGGAACTGATGCGTCTGTAGGAGAACCTGGACTAGTAGGAATGCCAGGGTTGCCAGGAATTCGCGGTCCACCAGGAGAAGACGGGCCGCCAGGCAGAAACGGTAGACCGGGTAATCCCGGTGCCGATGCAGCTTATTGTCCATGTCCACCAAGACGCTTCGAAAGCGAATACGGGAAAAGCTTCAGACGTGCTTTAGAAAAGGGATTCGAAAAAGTCGATGTGATCGAGGTGATTGACTTGAGAGATACAGATGAGGCGACCAAGAGTGCTAAAGCTTTGAAGGCGAGACGTTCAAGAGCTCCGACGAGACTTCACGGGGTCAGAGTCGGGGGACACCGTACACGTCGACGTCCGCACCGAAAACGAACAGTAGAGAGATCGCGAGATAAACATTAGGTGTAGACTGATTCCATTCTATGTATTTGTATGAATAAAACTGAAGATCTGGAAGTCTTGAATCTGGAAGTCTTGATGCCATCACACAATGAATCCTAATCCGTGCAAGCCATACTAGCTTCACATTTGGCCTGCCGAAGTGTTCTGAACACATAAACAGGGTGCAGCATCGTTGTGTGAAACACGTAGGCAGTCGTGCTTTTCTCTACGGAAGGGGGGGTCGTATTTGGTCGTTGGGAGAGAGGGGGTCGTATGTGCCTTTGAGAGAAATTTGTCGCGTTGGTTTTCCGGTTGCTGACTTTTGCGTGATTTTTCCTGTTTCATGTGCACTATACAGGGGGGGGGGCAAAAAAAAAAGACTTTTTTCTTCCTTGACTTTCGAGGCGCTATAAGTTACACTTTATTAAATTCTTATCGGACATTCTACCACCATAAAGAGCATATTAAATACTATCATGATACTCCGCCACAGCCTTCTGGAGGAGCGCCATCTGCCACGCGACCGTGAGTGGGTGCCTGAGTTCAGCGAGATCGTTGATTTCTCCGCCACTGTAGACCACCCTATTGAGCTCCGCCTTGAACCTCCTGGCGAATATATCCACCTTCCATCAGGGCTAGCCTCAAAACGCCTTATTTCCAGGTATCAAAGCAGGCAAGGAGTATTAGTTTCCAACGGCCCGGGGTTGATTTCCATTGTCGGTTGTCAACCCAAATTCTGTAAGCCAGTTACAAAGTCTTCAAGAAGCGTACGGGGGGCGGACGCACATAGTCTAGAGGATAGTTACTTTCTTTAAGTTATGCATCGATGAAACCGCCCACGGCGCTCCCTTGCAGATCCGATGGGCCACTCGAACTGAAAATATAGCGTTCTTTCTCCATTTCCAGCGTTTTTACGTCCGCGCGTGCACACCATTCAAACTTGGCGCCATAGGACTGAGGGCGAAGATGCATCCTGGGCCGTAGGCGGACGAATGTTCGGGCGGAGGTAACTGGTCTAGTTGGTAGCTATCCATGGGTGACTCCATACTAGAAGTTTCGCAGCTGTTTGGAGGTGACATGAATTCCAAAGGTCTTCTCCAGTCAGGCTGCGACTGGAGATGACTTCATATTTTGGTGTACATGAAGGTGATGGGCGAGAGCCAGCTCCTGCTTATCGAGGAACATCTTGGGTATCTTCCGCCCTGGTACTCGTATCCACGTCCTCTGTCTGGGCTGCGAAAACTTTGCTGATATGTGACTCGGTCGAAATGTCTTTTTTTGGCCCTCCCCTGTATACCCCTTTCCCCGCTCACGGCGAAATTTTAGGGAAAAGTGGGAAAATTTTCGGGAAATTCGGAAAAAGTGGTAGGAAGTTGGGGAAATTCTCCCGTTTCACACTGGCTATATACCCCCCCCCCCCTTCCCCCGCTCGACGGAAAATTTTTGGGTGAAAAAACTGGAAAATGGGGGAAATTTGTAGGTAGGTGTTGGGGAAGGGGGGGGGGTCGTACCGAGACCCTCATTTAGGTGGGGGGGGTCGTACTGACACCCTCTCTCGGAGGGGGGGTCGTACCTACACCACCACCTCACACATCACGATGCTGTACCCTACACATAAATTTTGGTACACAATAACTTTGCTAGCACACAACCACTTTGGAAAAAAAATTGAAATTTTGGACTATTACGTTGAAAAATAAATGAGTTCATGCGGAAAGTTGGTTTTTATGTATGCTGTTAGGAGACGTGGAAATATCATCTGCGACTGCTTTGTTTTTCCAATAGTTGACAGTTGAACTGGTAAACAACCAGTTGTAGAGAACCACACCACTGGGGTCATTCCGCCCTTCTGACGCCGTCCCGAGTGGTTGCGGCTTATAAATAAATA